TTAAATGCATGATTAAAAGGAAACAAAATAGGTGTTACATAGAAAAAAAAGTTAAATAGTTAAATATTTACACAAGATAAAAACAAAATGATAAACTTATCTTTTACCTGCATGCATAAGCTGCTGAAAAACTTTTATTTAGGTCTACATTTAAATTAGCATACATTTTCTGCATGTCTGAGCTGCTCAGCTTAGACACTTACTTTACACATCTAAACGTTTAATCAAAATCCAAATTCTGTTGTAAATTATTACATCACTAAATAAACAAACTGCAAAAAATAGTAAAAAGTAATCAATTCTAAATAGATTTTTAATTATAATTTTATTTGGGTTTTCAAGATAAATTTTATATGAATTTTAAGCTCTGGAATTTCTATCTTGCCTCTTTTTTGTTTTATTTTGGGGGTTTTCTTTGACAAACTAACCTCAGCTAGACTGGATGCTTCGGTTTGCTGATGTGTAGTAAAAAAAAATATTTGTCTTTTATCTCTCATGTTTTCCCATTTTGATTAAACTTAATTAACACAGCTCATCAGATTCTAGTGTCAGAAATATGAGACAAAATACAGTTTTCAAACAATGCTTTAATTTATCAGTGGGGGAAGCAACTAGCATCCAGAAATGGTTAAAATTATTTAGGATATCTGGATGCAAATGTTATTTACTTGCAGGAATGTAGAGGAATCTTGGCTTTTCTTTTACCCTTCTTTGTAGCATTGATTAATTCAGCCAAATGTTGAGGATTTTAACACTGGACGGTTTGTTTAAGAGCATGTTACTGCACCTTTACTGTAATTAAGTCTGCACTTTGAGTAGGCTATTCCATAACTACTTCAGCTTTGCCATTTAAACTTAGATTTACTGGTGTGCCTCAAAAGAATTGTCCTGCTGCACAGCTGGACATCAATGCAATCAACTGTCCTGCTGATTATAAGGCTGCTAAATTGCTCTTCAAGATTTCCTGCAGGAGAAATAACTCTCAGTTCCATTAATTACAGCAAATCTTGTAGGTACTGAATTGACAAAAGCTCTGATGTTGCTGACCTTGATTATCATCTGTTCTTGAATGCCTTTAGATTGGGGCATGACTCTTTCTTGTTATTTTTAATTTTTGTTTTGATTTTACCGGTCTGGTCTAAGATAAGATTTAATAAAACATTACAGTCAATTAATTAACAAGAAAGTCAATTCCTTTTTACAAAGGGCAAAAACGATTGACAGCATTTTCCTATCACAATAATGAAATAATCATTTGAAAACATCTTTTTGAATTTTCTGAAATGTTTTATCTGGTATCAAAATGCATCTGAAACATTTAAGCTTGCTGCTGATGCTTGTGTTTTTATCAGACAGGTCTGACCTTTGTAGCATGAATAAGTGCACTGCAGGAGGGCTCTTATGTGAGGGCAGCTGGTCTCAACTTGCTGATAAACAATGCAGTCCTTCTGGTCGAAAGGCCTCTCTATAATACCAGTCCTGAAGTAATAACACACAGGAAGCGATGTCATGGGTATGCCATTAAAAGATGAGATAGTTCCAAAACACGAAGCATTATGCAACATTAAAATTGTTATTTCATTTTCTTGGCAAGTGACCACCAGCTAAGTTTTCAAGACTTTTTTTTTTTATGCTCAGAGTACCAGTCCTTTTATAGGAAGCAATCAGCATTAAGGAGAAATATAATAGAACCATCTCAAAAAGCTAAAGAAATCCTGTAAGAATGTTTTGAGGGTACAGAGTGGGATGCTTTGTGCATGGAGATGACATCAGTGCAATGACTGAGTGTGTGATTTACTACATAAACAGTGCAGATAACACCGTCCCCGCCAAAACATTAAAATTATTCCCACATAATAAACCATGGATAAATAGTGATCTGAAAGAACTGTCCAACAAGAAAGAAGAGCCCTCTGGAAGGGAGACGGAATCATTGAGAGTAAACAGAGGCAACTTAGGGTCAAGATAAGACAAATAAAGAAATATATCTAGCAGAACAATATTAGAGATGTGTGATCAGGTATGATGAAGGAGTGTAAATACCTTGTGTATTTCAAGAACATGCTCAGCCTCCTTCCCTTCTGCCACAGTCAAATGGAGATCCCACCTTCCTTTCATCGAAGCTTGTTTTTTTCTTCCCCCTCTGCCATAGACCCTCCTGATTCTACTGTATGTGTTTGTTCTCAACCAAATCACAAGATGGTGCTGCTTCCTCTACTTTTCACCTGTATCTCTAAAAATCAATTAAAGAGGCAACTGGAGAGACTGACTTGTAAGAAGTCAACAAGTCTTGATTTCAGACCCAGAGTCCTGAAGGCCTGTGCAGAGCAGCTCTGTGGGATTTTACAGCACCTCTTTCACTTTAGCTTGACCCAAGGGATGATTTTAGTGATGTAGAACACCTCCTTGCTTTTACTGGTACCCAGAAAACACAGCCAACATTCCTTGGTGACTATAGACCTCTTGTCTTGAAATTCCACATCATGAAGGTCCTATAGAGACTTGTGTTGGTCCACCTGAGCAAGCAAACATGCAGCTATCAGGACCCTGCATCATGTTATTTTGTTTATTTCTCCTGTGCATCTAACAGGATTCAGTCTATTATGCTTTGTCAGAACATTTAGAAGGCTCAGATGGAGCCATCGACAGTTGTCTGGATCAAAGCCTACCTGACAAACAGACCACAGTTTGTTAGACTGAAGGGTCAGCTTTCAAATCAGGCAGTCGGCAGCACAGGAGAACCACAGGGGACAGTAATCTCAACTTTCCTTTTATTCTCTACACCTCTGACTTCCAGTACCAGGCAGCGTCCTTTCATCTGCAGAGATACTTAGAGGACCCTGACGTTGTTGGGTGCATCAAACTGCTTTGTGAAATGTCTTGAAGAAAATAACAATCAGATCCTGAATGTGAACAAAGTAAAGGAGATAAATGTAGATTTCAGAAGAAACAAGAACACATGGAATCCTGTTAGCATCATGGGATGGATCCAGTGGAGGTGGTGAAGGTGTATAAATACCTTGGTGTTCAACTGGACAACAAACTGGACTACAGACAAAACTGTGAATGTGTCTACAAGAAGGGACAGAGCTGACTTTAATTCTTATGGATGCTTGAGTCCTTCAGTATTTGCAGCAAGATGCTACACATCTATAAATCAGTTGTGGAGAGTCTGATCTGTTCTGCCATAATCAGCTGGAGTAACGGCATCGGAGCAAATGGCTTAAAGAAGCTCAACAAGTGAATAAAGAAGGCTGGCTCTGTTCTAGGAACTCCTATAGAAACTCTGGAGATCATTTCACAAGGATAAATTCTTCATAAGTGGAAAAACTTCACAGACAACAGTGAGCATCCTTTTCATTAGACTGCTAAAGAAAAACAGAGTGTTGTCAGTCAGAGCTTTCTTCAGATCCACTACAAGACAGACCCAAACACAAGATCCTTCCCTTCCTGCCTGCAGCTTTAAACATCTACAACAAAATGTATTGTAAACTATTATTTACAACATTAATTTCCCTTTTGAATAAATTAAATTAAATTGAAATAAATCATATTCGTCAAATGTTCTGTCGCTGCCCTTTTTTCTCCTTGCTTGTGTCCTTATCTACTGTTTGATTTGAAGCATAATGAAAGTTTTACTGCATGGGTGGAGGGACATGGGTGGAGACGACTGTTAGTGGAGAACTTTCTGCCGCCTTCATGAATGAGTTTCTCCAAATAAGGATGCAATGAAACAATGTAGAGGAAACAGTTTATTCACTGACAATCAGAAACATCAGCATTTCAGAGATTGAGTGAATTCTGGTGAAAGGAAATAAACATTGTTCAGTCCTAATCAAATACAAACCTACAATAAGAGATTAGATGTCTGAAAATACAGTAAAGCACAAAATGCTTAATAGCTCTCACAGGTTTGGGTTCAATATTTTTTTTCTGACCAACACATTTCTTTTGAGTAGAAATAATATTTTAATGCCTACATCAACAGCATGAAAACCTACTAAATTCTGCTCAACAATTTTAAGATGGGTTTGAAGATATTTAAGTCTCAATGAAGAAGACTATTTGTAAACTTTAACATAATGTTTCTATTACAAGGTAAAGAGAAGAACAAGCCAATTATTTTATCAAAGTACATCGCTTTTACTTTGTGGTGCTATGTTTGGGAAATCCTGTCTTTTTTATTGTAAAAAACATGAGGTTTAAATTAAACATTGCTTGAAATCTAAGTAAACCAGTGATGTGTATAATTAAGGAACGAATTGTAGGGTGCATCATCATATAATTAATTTGCTTAAAACGTATAATTTAGATAGAAGTAGGGGGATTGAGATGCAGATCATTAAAATAGGCAAGAATCACATTTTGATTTAAACCTTTATATTCTAGTTGTATATAATGTGTGGTGATATCCTTTGATTAACGGAATATTCAACCTTCTGCTAAAGTGGCCAGGAAGCTCTCATATAAGAGTATTTTTGTCTTAAAGAAATTCATTTCAGTGACTTGAAGCACTTGTAACACCTAGAAATGTTGATGTTATATTTTAGCCTGGAGAGACTCACACGAAGAAAAAGCAACATTTAAAAGTTTTATTGACATGAATAAATAAATCTTAGGTTGTGATCCTGGCAGAAGACATTGGCGCTGAATTGAGTTGATCTACGTGAGCAGATAGATCTAGGTTACATACATCTTTCCTCTGAAGTCTGACACCAGTGGAGGATAGAGGGGAGCCATAGGGAGGCCGGTAGGATCACTAGAAAAAACATCTAGAAATAAGTATAAATATCTTAAATTAAGTGTATTTACCCTTAACTTGAGTAGGTAAATTAGATAGTTTGCCAATGGAATTAGTATTTATACTCTTAAAATAAGATATTTAGATAAAATGCACTTGAAATAAAAGCAATGCAATTGTGTTTTCTTATTTTAAATGCAAATGGTCTTGTTCCATTGGCAAAATGTCTCTTTTACCTTCTCAATTCAAGAACAAATGCACTTATTTTAAGAAAAAATGACTTATCTAGAAGTAGATTTTTTTCAGTGATGGAGTTGGTAAAGAGGTGGAGGAGGTTTTGCAGATCGGCTGGAAATTGGGGGCATCCTTTGGTTTGGAATTCTCTCTTTTATTTGGGGGGATTATAAGATTAAAGTTAAAATGCTTGTGGTGGTAGTTAGACCAAATGAGTTGTTTTTTTAACCACCAGAGGGAGGACTTATGCTCACCCTGCTTCTCATGAAGAAGCAAAAAAGGGTTTGCATTGATGAGTTGCTCAGTTCACACTAGTGAAAAAAGAAAAGGAAAATGAAACATTTGCAATATAAAACCCATGCCTGCTTTCTGTATTACCAGGTTGCACTGTTCCACACAGCCACTTTGGCGGGGCAGATTTTAAGAGGTTTGGGGTTGCTCCCATTAATGTTGACTCCAGGGCAGAAGAAAGGGTATATCTTTTCAGTGAAAACGTCAGTGAAGGTGTAGATTGGCTTCATGGTCACAGGGTTGGAGAAAATCACCTCCCCAGCCTCATAGTCCAGCTGCACCCTGACACGAGTCAAGTCCCTCTCCAGGTGGAGCGGGGTGCTAGGCCTCGTCATGGCTGAGTACTCGCCCTCAGAGTGTGAGATCATCCAGAAGCCTCCCTCCGGACAACCCGAAATCTTCCCTTTCCTGTCGATGGACTCCTTGACCACGCCGAGCATCCAGTCCACCTTACCGCCCACTTCCACCTCCCAGGCGTGGCGGCCTGACGTGAAGCCTTCTGATCCAAGCACGAACACAAAGTGACCAAAGCGCTCTGGGTTGTCTGGGAGCTGCAGCAGGGATCCACTGTTGGCTACGCTGGTCAAGTCCGAGGAGAGGGACAGCCAGGAGTAGGCAGTGTTGGGGTCCAAGGTTATGGGAGCTAAAGGGAGAAGAAGTAAAACAGATATATATCTATATCAATTCGGTGTTATTTCTTCTTCCAGTATGGAATAATCAGGTGAGTCTTTCAAAGAAAAGAACAGTAGTAATCAAGCATGGTGGTGGTACCATCATTTTGCGGGGCGGTTTCACTGCCAAAGTAAACAGCAAAATAAAGCAATAGCGCTATAATGATGAGGGTGCTGAATCAAAATAAAGGCTGATGGTCCAAAATCCAGTTTCAGCTGCACACAGGGAGCAGCCAAGAGACAAACATTGAGCTTTATGGCAACAATGGCAGGAATAGTTTAATTAGTTTTAAGGCAAAGCTCGTCAATGCACTAATACTGCACCAACTCTCATCCATGAGGATAGAAGAATTGTGCCATGGAGCTAGTTATAACACTACAAGGCAATGAGTGGAGTAAATAATAAATAAAGGGGAAGTTTTGCAACAAAATGTGTTTTGGAGTGTTAAGTTTTAATGTTCATAAGCTCCCTAAAACAGCTCCAACCTGAGGATCATACTAAACATGTAGAATATTTTGGAAAGCTGTAGAGAACTACTTCTTCCAGTTAAATTAGAGACAAACAACCAAAAGGAAGAGTATTATTAGAGCAGTTTTATTATAAAAAGCCAGACTGTAACACGACATTTACTCTCCTGATATGCATGCCGAGAGCCACTTACTGTACTGAACAAGTTTCACCATCTTTGCCCAAACGTGGTATTTAAGCGAGCTCACATGCTTGGCCACATTTATAAGAGCACCGGGCACTTTTTCTGGATCCTTCTGTGGGAGCTGTGCTCTGTGATGACATGCAACAGTTATCATTCAGAGATGAGAATGCAGAGGTTTGAGTCCAGATTAAACACTGCAGGAGTTCCTACCGTTTCTTTGTGTTGGTGTAATTCTGAAAAGACAATACCGAAAATTGGGCAACTTTATGTTCCGCATGGAGTGAGAGAGCGTTTTCATTTTGATGTGTGGGAAAAAAATCTACTCACCTGAAGGAAATGAGCATCACTGGATGCAATCTCATTCTCAATGGCGATGACGGCATGAGAGAAAGTGAGGATGTCTCTGGTTATGCTGTCAGACTTCCTCTTCACCAGCTCCTTCTTCTCCTCATCCTCCTTCCTCAGGATGGCCAGTCTCGCCTCCTCCTCCCGCTCGAGAAAATCTCGAAGCTCCTCAAACTCTTGTCTTATCTGCTTCTCTGTGGCCAGAGTCTGGTTCTACCACACATGATAACATTAGTAATTAATTACTACAATATGCTGAACACTCCTAAGCCACAACTACTGTTGGAAGAGAATATAAAAGCTGCAAAATAAAGACATTAAAAAACTATGTAAGGACTTTTCCTTTACACTGAGTATAAACATGAATGTGGAATAATTTCAGTTCACCTAACTTTTGATAGTTTAAATAAAAAGTCATTTACCAGTAAGCATTTCTCCTTGAAAAGGAAAGTCTGAGGCTAGTCTGAATTAGATGATCTTTTAGTTCAGGGATGTTGAAAATCTGTATTTTTCCATAGATACCAAAGACAGGAGGGAGGTTTGTCCAACCAGTCTGCATATGTTTAGTAAAAGTGGGATCTCTGACCAGCAGAGAAAGAGCACATCTACTTTATGAGCCATATTTAATCTAAGCCTCCTCACATCTGACACAACATCTCTCAGATAATCAGATTATAAATTACTGCCTCATATAGAAGCATATAAACCTTATCTGTTTTTTGTTTTCTTTTATAAAATGGAAGTAGGAGGTTAACAGTGGGACTAGAGCATATTTGTACCTGACTCTCTGGCCTTAGGCAAAACAGACGTATGTCAAACATGTAAAGGTCTTCCTAATTGAAATCCTGCCTAGGGTCCCATTTAACCTTAGTTTGACCATGACTGCAGCTCTCAAAACTTTACATTTAGGTCTTTGGACTCTTGATTTTAATTTTTTTTTATGTTTAAAATGATCTATTTTAATGTAATGATCTTTAATGTTTGTTTTGTCTTATATGGGAATGTATTCATACTTTCAAAGATGCTATATAAATAGTTTTACTAACTTATCCAGCCTGCCTTAATGAGAAGGGATTTAAGCACAAAGGTCAAGTCGTTAATCTAAAGATTGTTTTAAATATTTTCACATCTCAAAAAAAAAACAGGTAAACTAATGCATATTAGTAAAATAGAACAAAGGCAGTAATAGGTTTATTTAATATTTTTGTTTGTAAAAATCGGTAAAGAGTGGCAACCATTCGTAAATAAAATCCTCCAATTTTTCCGGTAAAGACATGTCAAATGATATGCAAATGTCTTAGCAGCCATGATGTTGCTTTTGAATGTAACCGGTTGCACTGGATTACCTTTACAGGAATAGAAACGTTTTGAATATGAGACACGCTTATCAAATTTAGATCTGCCAAAAAAGTCTACGTCATTTTCATTCTTCTTTAATAATAGCTAATTTTGTATTGGATCTATCACCTATTAGTCAGTTAAAAAGCAGTTTAATGATTTGTTTTATCCCAAGGTGCTACAGTTGACCCATCTGAGGGAGAAAAGGCCTAAAGGATTCACTTGTAATAAGACTGCCCATAAATAATTATATTTCCACAATTTTCAGCTTCCATCTCCCCTCTGTAAATGTTGCATAGATTTATCAGAGACAGTTATGACACACCTAATGAGAACATCAAAGCATCTAGAGTAATTTGCTTCTCTGACGCTAAGGCTGGGGTGTTTACACACTAACAGAGCTTGACTCATCTGGCGTTAGAGTTACATCAGCAGTCACGCAGGTCCTCTAGTGTTTCTTGGATCTGTTTATTGATACCTTGATGTGAACAGTTGTGTCATCACACTCCTGCTTGGCTTCATACAGGCGGCGCAGGTTCTTCTTCAGGGGGACTAGGTCCTTCTTTAGTTCTGTCTGCAGGTAGAAAATGTCAGAAAGCAGAGGAAATCTCACAGATAGCATACCTATATATAACCCTATCCCACCCATGGCATACTTTTTCTAATAGAAAGTATATACTAATGTTCAAAACTGTGTTGAATCAACCATTTATGATTTTTGAATCAGGTCCCCTAGTGTTTAAAGTCGAGATACCCTAATTAGTTTAAGGCTAAATAAGAAGAGACTGAACACTTAGCGTATAGTTTAATAGTAACAAACAAAAGAAATGCTAAAATTGGATTAATTAAATGTTTAACGCTCATTTGAAAAGTAGTCACTTTAATGTTAAAAGGAAAAAATGATCATAGCTGTCATAATAATAATCATATATAAACACATGATTGCAAAATAAGTTTGAGTGTTATGCTCAGCACAAAAATTATTTATTATCTTAACATAAAACTAACAGTTTTATATGCTTTAACAAACTTATAAATTTATTTTTCAACATAGGGCCTGATCTTAATTTTTATGCATCTTAAAACACTAAAAAGGGCTTGTATGACGGAGTAGAGCTTCAAAGAAGTGATTTGAGTTTGCTTTTCAGCAGAGAGCAAATTAAGATATTGTTTTTGTGTGTGTGCTTTCATGAATATGCAGATCATATTTTAATAATAAAGTAGTGCTTGGCAATTAATTGCATTTGCAATATCATCGCAAATTAACAAGACATCATTTTCAAATGGCATATGCACAAACTTTTAATAACACTGTATTTAACAGGAGTAAGACACTGCATTTCTCACTCCAGGCCTTAAGATGGACGTGAAACAATTGAAGTGGATTTGTCATCACACAGAAGGGTAGAGAGTTGCTGCTAGCACTCAGATCCATGCATTCAAGTAGAAGGAAGAGCTTTTTCATACAAAGTTTACAGTAAAGTCCTGCAACAATGGACTCTGGGCAATCAAGCTTTCAAAAACTGAAAGCCTGGGGTGAAACATCTACATGCTTTAGTACCGAAAAAATATTGCAATCGTAATTTAAGTAATATATATATATATATATATATATATATATATATATATATATATATATATATATATATATATATATATATATATATATATATATCTTTTTTATTTCTGGTAAAATCGTTCAGCCCAAAACCAAACTGTGCGTATTCATGGGTGAAGGATATGCATATGTGAACATTTAACTTGTGCAAAAAGATTTTCCAAATCTGAAACCTAACTGCGGTTGTAATGTTTGCAAAATTTTTAGTGCTTAAAAAAGTCAGTTGCTCACAAATAAAGATTTCTGTGGTCATTGTTGCCACAAAGAAGGCATTGGTACAAAGCCATAGGATGGAGAGAGAATCTGTGCATGTAAGCATATTTTGACTGTGTGAGATAGTATAAATAAATAAAAAAAATAACAGTGAAAGCCAGCAAAAATCAATGCAGCAAGACAAAAAACAATGACTGGACTTAAATATTGTGGCTTTTTTTTTTTTAAATAAAGAGAAAAACAAACATGAAAAGGGGGAGGGTGCGGAGGACTGCATGTTTTCTCTTGTTGTTTTTATAACCAGTGTGGTTATAAAAACAGTGTGGTTATGTTTAATTAACTAATAATGGGCCTATCTTGTTTTGCAGTATATCAGGTCAAGCTGCTGTTGTGACAAGTTGGTGGAGACAAATCAATGTGGTTGAAGTGTAACCTGCTGTAAATCTGACTGCGGTTCCTTTCTTGTTGTAGGGGTCGGTTGTGGGGGAAAGTCAGCAGACAAAGCAAACTTTCTCATGTTTTATGTTTCTTATTTTTTATATTTAACTTTAAATGTAGTTTTATCATCATTTTATTTTTCTACTTTTGTTTGTAGCACTTAGGTTAGCTCTTCAAAGTGCACCAAAGGTTATTGTTAGTTTTATCCTAGTGATTATTTAAATGATATAACCCTCATAACCTCCAGCTACGTGGCTTTGATCGGCATCTATCTTTTACAGCCCTATTAGACTGCCTGCACGACACAATCTACTCCCTTTAATGGGGCAGAACCAAACTTGTTTACTCGTCTTAACATTTGCACAGCAATCTTTTTGGGTCACCTGTTGCATGTACAATTTAACACCACTTATCTAGACTCTTTGAATATCAGGTCCATAATGTTTCAAAGACCTGTTACAGCAACATTAAATTAATTAGAACAGAAAAACATTAATGTCTTTGTGTAAACAGTTTTAATAGAAACAATCCCACGTGTGCAGTGACATTAACATATTTACAATTTGATAATCTAATGTTAAAATAGCTCATCTTTTAAGGCTTAAAGGACACAATCGAATTTATTAATTATTTCTAAAGTTCCAAAGTCCGGTAATGTTCTTAAGGTGTCAAATGATTTATCACTTTATGGACTTTAGTGGCCATGATGGCAAACAAATATATTGCTGTCTTGTTATTCTGGACTAGTTTGTGTTAACAGCGTAAAGAAAAGAATAAACTGAACAGAAAATAGCCACTGGTTTTAAAAATGTTCAAGTTCATATAACTGAAAGTCTAAATAATTTACTATTCAAGCAGTCTATGTTATGTCTGCCAGATATTCTACTCAAATAACACAGAATGGAATTTTACTACAACCACTTGACTGAAAAAACTGTTTAGAGCTGAGAGAAAACTCAGTCAGACAAGGTCACGTTACACCTTAGACTTGTGTTGGTGGTAACCATAACTTTCATGTTATTTTACTGAAAAGAGTTGTGTTTGAGCTGTTTTCAGAACATTTTTGTGCTAATTTAAATTCAATCGAACAATCAAGAAAGTTTTGTTTATTTTACATTAAAAGAAGAATTTGACTAATTTCTGTAAATTAAATACTATTGTCTTGCACATAATTTTTTTTGTCTGTGATGAGTAAACAAAAAATGAAACCCCTTAAGACTTTGTATTTTTTTTTTTTATAAAAATGCACCAATTATTTTGTGTATGGTCTGCTCACATCTTTCATGTTACTACACTGCTCTAAACTAAAGCTTTTGAGAAATGTGTTTTTACAGTGAAATTATGTATAGGTTCTTGGTATTTCAGTGAGGTTAAAGCAGCTATTTAGGTTTTAAAATGATTTTGATCTTGGAAGAGGTATTTTTACCTTCAGATCCTGGGCTCCTTCATCTAGGGGACACACTTTATGTCCCTGGTGCTTCTTAGACGTGTGACACACACAGCACAAGACTTCAAAGTCGTCCATGCAAAAGAGTTTCAGAACCTCCCCATGTGTCACACACTTCTCCTCCAGGACTGCTTCCTCCCCTGCCACGCTGGCCCCCGGCCCCAGACTGGCTGAAGCTGTCCTCCTCTCCTGCTCCCTCAGAAAAGTGTCAGCCACATTCTTCAAGGCAAGGCTGACTGTGGGCTCCGTTAGAGAGCACTTCCTCCTGCAGATGGGACACTCGCGCCTGGCCTTCTTCTTGTTCCAGAACTGCTGCAGGCAGGCCCTGCAGAAGCTGTGGCTGCATTTGAGAACAACCGGCTCCTTGAAGATCTCGCAGCAGACGGGACAAGACAGCTCATCCTCCAGCACAGAGCTTGAACGAGAGGAAACAGCTCGTGGACGAAGGGACGAGGTTACCTTGGTAATCTGAAGCAGGGAAAGCTTTCCTGGCTGGGAGGAAGCTCGGGGCCGCAAAGCCATGATCGGTTCCTAAAGTCTGGGTAGAGAGCTGCTCCTACAGCTGCTGTTGTCAAATGCAAGAAGAGGGAGAGCTTCAAGGTGGGTCCAGAGAGTAATCTGGTCACACTTTAACAGCAACCTGAGTTATAGATCAACAAAGACTTGCAGAACTGGTTCACTTCACTACTGGTAAATAAGGGAAAGGTCACCACCCCTCATTTAACAGCCCCATTAAAGTTTCCAAATAAAAGGGCAGATTTGAGTTCATCTTAAAAACAAGTTTCAGAATTTATTACCCTGGTTATCCAGCTGTTGTACTAATTATTTGATCCAATCCTTTTTTCTTATTTGTAGACTATGCATTTTGATACACAGAGACATAAACTAAAGACACAAAACTAAAAAAAATTAAATTACATTTTTCATTCACTAAGTTAATGGAAGTAATGGTTCCCAGACATCTGTTGTTCTTCCAAGAGCCAAAAACAGCAGTAAACCAATTTATAACAGGAAGTCCTGAGCTTAGTTTATTGTGTGCAATAAGTAAACCTGCTAATAAGTATTTCCTCTATAAACTGACCTCTTCAAACCAAGAAAGGAAATGTGCTTAAAACAGGCGCCAAGGACATAAGATGTTCAGATATAAAATGATCATAATTTGCATTCCAAATGGGACCAAAGTCAACCAAGAACCAAGATGCTGTATGTAATCGTTTGGTTCCTGCCTGCTTTAGCAGACATTTTACAGGGTGTCTTAATTTTGCTGTGTAAATGATTCAGAGAAGGTTTGGCAGAAGGTGGACAGATGAGGCAGAAATGTTGCTTTTAGTTCTCTGTATGGAGGAAGAAACAATCTCCACAGTGTATCAAAGGAGGAAACATCATACTTTGATGCGTTTTCTTAAGTCTGGCTGCTTTAAGGTGCCAGTAGACCAAACCATGCAGACTAAAGCTTTGAGTGAGAACCTTCTTCCCAGTAGAACACAGATGACTGGCTCTGGCTGGGTCTTCAAACATGGCACGAAACAAAAACAAAACAGGGGGGTTTTACTAAACCTGCCAATTTAAGGTCATCAGGACCCATGCTGTAGATATCAGTGGAAGCGTTGGAAATTACTTAAAAGAGAGGTCTTCAACCTTCCAGGTCAATTCCATGTGGGACAGTTTGTGCACAGAAAATGACAGAATCTTTGTATAAACTAAAATCTCTTAAAATGCAGGTTAAATCTTAATTACAAGAAAATGAACACTTACCCTAAACATAACCCCAGATATGTTAAAAAGTGTTTTTTTTTCCCCTGTAGATGATTTATGGGCAGGGCTAAAAACAGATGTTTTTTGTCTGACGAGGGAAAGGTGAACACTACAAGTTCTTTGTGGAGCATTCTGATACCGTCGCTTCATTATAAATCTGTTAAAATCACTGCTGTGTATGAAAAGTGGAGTCAAAATAAAAGGAGAACGTTTCACGATGATCTGCATGATGGAGCGGCTGCCAGCACTGCCCTGAAACCAAGGAAGAATTATTAGAGCAAGAATCAGCCTTCATCAGTCAGGGTTTGGACCAGAGCATAAGATCAGTCATGTCAGCTGCAGGGGATGCTGCTCCTTTCTTTTTATGGGAACTACAGGAGATCAACATAACTTCACATCTTCACAAGCTTTACATTTAATAAAAATATTGGATAAAGTGAGACATTCATAATTCTGAAAAAGGAGAAAATATAAAAGGAATTACATAAGCAATGTTTAATGTAGATAATATGGCTAAATATACATTTAGATAGATTAGATAATGATATGAAGAAGAACAGTCTATTCTTTGCAACCAGTTATTTTCCATTAATCACAAATAAGAAAGGCTTTAGAAAGCTTAGACAGCAGAGGGTTGATGGTGTAGTGGGTTGGGGGTTACCGCCAAATTCTGCTACTCCTCTGGGGGGCATGACCTCTTCATTAAACACCTCTGACATAAATAAGAATAACTTCCTCCTGAGATGCTGAACATGAGTCATAGAACAATACCATTATAAAACTAGACTGAATTTTTGATGCAACAATTATGATTAGTACAGAAGAGGATTAGGGACATTAAAAAATAACAAAACAAAAAAAACAGCCACCTAACAAAGAAGGCTGTTTAATTCTTACTTTATTCTCAGAATTTAGACTTTTAATCTCAGAATTTGAAGTCAAATTATTAAGGACTCCATTGCCAAAGCCCAGGATTATTACTTTGGTGGAATATTACAGGCTGTCCCAATTTTATGAGCAAAATTCAGAGATTAGTCAGAATTCTGAGAATAAAATCTGAAATTAATAGCTATTCAGCCTTTTTTTCCTAAAGCCTTCATTTTCTCTCTTACACTTCCATACAACTGATTTCAGTTTTAAATCAATTAAATTTAGTTTTAGTTTTGTGAAATACATTTACAAACTTTCATTTTAAGATTACATAAATACTCATTCAAGCAGGAGAATTCAAAATCAGTGTCTGCCTATTGCTATGCTATTAGGGCTGGGTTATTAATTGCATCTGAGATATAATTGCAAGTTAACAAACTGCAATCTTCCAACCAAAGTGTTTGTTTTATTCCAGGCCTTTAGGGGGTTGATATGCTTAAAATGGGTTTGCAACCACAAAGTAGGGAAGAGAGAGCTGTAGCTAGCAGGGTCTGTGCAAATAGTACAAATTGCTAAATAATGACATTTAAGCCAAAAAAGTGGTGCATCAGCAGTCACCATAATTGCTGGCAGTTAGGAAGGAGGTAGAAAAGGAAGCAGGATGCTTCCTCTATGTAGCTTATTTAGCACAGGGACCTCATGACATTCCCATCCTCTGCATAGGAGCTATAAAGATACCCACAATCCTTTGCGTAATGGGATGTATTGGCATAAAAACCTCAAGGAGTAGAACAAAAATATACTGGTATATCATTTCTTTACATGTTCTCTCACACATGCACATCTAACCAACTTCACACATTTTGGGTTTTATAATTGAAAGCTTCAGCTGTTTCTCTACATTTATTTTTATAAACTTCTATTCCACACAGTTTTGCAAGCATAGTTCATGTGTTTTTCCGTCACGTAATGACATCCAGAAGGCTTAAGGCTGTCTGGATTCCACAAAAAGGTGAAAAAACAGGAGCTAGAATTTACACGATTCAGAGTCAGAGCCATGCATGGGAGTAAAAGTAAGCGTTTTCCCACATCACAGTAACAGAACAGTACTGTGACAATAGACTCTGGATGAGCAAGCTTTCAGAAGTCATGAAAACCTGCAGTTAAAAACGCTTGTGGCGGTTCAAAGGAGAAATCATAAAATAATCATCTCTGCAATATTGGTTGACAAAGAAAGATCACAACTTGGACTTTCTGGAAAATGGTTCAGCCCTACAGGTACGAAAATAAGTGTTTGAACACCCTTCTATTATGCTAGTTCTCCCCCTTAGAAATGATGGTGCAGTCTGATATTGTCATCGTACTGGCATGTGAGAGACAATCTAAAAAAAATCCAGAAATCACAATATAAGATATTTTAACTATTTATTTGTATGATAAAGATGCAAATAAGTATTTGAACACCTATCAGCTAGAATTCTGACCCTCAAAGACCTGTTAGTCTGCCTTCAAAATGTCCGCCTCCACTCCATTTATTACCCTAAATTAGATGCACTTGTCTGAGGTCATTAGCTGTATAAGTACACCTATCCAGCCCATACAATCGGTAAGAATCCAACTACTAACATGACCAAGACCAAAGTGCCCAAAGACACTTGAGACAAAATTGTGCACCTCCATAAGGCTGGAATGGAATATGGGGAAATAGCCAAGCAGCTGTGAAAAAAGGTCCACTGTTGTAGCAATCATTAGAAAATGGAAGAAGCTAAACATGACTGTCAATCTCCCTCAGACTGGGGCTCCATGCAAGATCTCACCTCGTGGGTCTCAATGATCCTAAGAAAGGTGAGAATTCAGCCCAGAACTACATGGGAGGAGCTGCTCAATGACCTGAAAAGAGCTGGGACTGCCGTTTCCATGGTTACTGTTGGTAATACACTAAGACGTCATAGTTTGAAATCATGCATGGCACCGAAGGTTCCCCTGCTTAAACCAGCACGTCAGGGCTCACTCAAATACTTATTAGTGGGTGAAATTGCAAAATACAGTAGCAGGGTGTTCAAATATTTTCCTTACTGTTTACTGTCTAATCAAATAGATTTTTGGTTCAAACTATTTACTAATAGTCTATTAAGAATATGAATACTTGAGAACTAGTTAAGCAATTTACAGAAAAATAACTTTTGAAGTTACATTAAATCATCTCCTGTCCTGGTTTTACCAGTTTAAATCCTATCTACATTCCTGTGGCCAAAAGGTTTCTCCTCTAACTTCGCTGCATGTGGGAATAAAACCTTGTTTCTGTAAACTACATGCAAAGCATTTCTAACTTAACATATTTTCCTCCTGGAATTCTATTAATTATCTGAGCAATGAGAGGAAACCGATTTAGCAGGAGAATCAAAGACTTACTCCCTCCTGTTTAATGCTCCAATTTGCCACCATTCTAACAAAGGACTCTGAGTGACCTCAACGAGTCCGACCAACACTATCAAGTGAGCCAAGGTCGATCTGATTACATCAGCCGACAGCCCGCTGACAGAGATTTCACCGCCTGAATAGACGTCATGCATATTTCAGGAGGACAAAGGAGGGAGGAGAAATATAAACAACATTTGAGGCGGTTTTCTGAGTTCTTAAAAAAGTTTAGGATACTAAATGCAGCATCCTAAATGTTACTAAAGTAGGTAAACGCTTTAGATGAGGTCATCTGAACCATTAAAAAAAAAGACAAAACAGAGCATATGTGGGTGTTATTGCATTATATTTGAACATGGACAACACAAGCCATCAAAATAATTATTAGTGTCCAAGCTGGAATTAATTACATCACCCATAGATTTATCATCAACTCTGAGGAAAGAAACAAAAACTACAAAATAGCTTCGTCACAGTTGGATCATCTGAAAACGTCGTTACAACAAAAGGGTTTATTTTGTTGTTTGTTTGTTTTTTTTTATTAGGTGTTTTTGCACGATGGAAGTCACATGTCGTTCTGGTTCTTTAACACCAT